TTGGTGCTTTTCTTCATAGGCTGCTGCTTCTTGAGAAGGAGAACAAGGAAGAAACCTTATGATGCTGTCAGTGAGGAAAATGGTAAGATTCGAGCACACAAAGGAAAAGTAGAAGAAAAAGATTCCCATTCCGTCATATTTGAATTTGTGTACACAATAGTGAGATACTGGATCGAACCAAATCATCTAGAAGATTAAGCCCTTTCATATGCACAAACACCTACAATTTTTATAAAATGAATGGTGCTCCAGAACTAATATAGGATTTTCTATCGGCTCTTAACGTATTGAATCACGCTATCTAAAAGTTTAAGTAGAATTAGATATGCAACATGTTTGTTGTTCTGCAGTTTTTGTCTAGTGCATTCATTTCAGTATTGCAACTTCAATATAAGACAGTAAGAAATTGATTAAAAAAAAAATCGTAGTTTCTCACCGCTTCACTCACTCCTAGGTTAAATAAATTTATGTAATGATTTGCTATTTTTGTATGTAGACGAAGGAAATGAGATTTCATCAGTTGAATCCTTGCAATTTGACTTGAATACTATTGCGCTTGCTACCAACAACTTTTCTACAGAAAACAAAATTGGTGAAGGTGGATTTGGTAGTGTCTACAAGGTACTTGATGAAGGAATATAATTCTATGTACTAGGTTTTATCCCTTTATATTTTCAATGTTTTAACAATCACTTTTACATAGGTATGATTTGTTTGGTAAGTCAGGCTATACAGTATTTGACACTGTTCTGTATAATGCTATGTTTAAACGTGCTTTCAGGGTACTTTCTTAAATGGACAAGAAATAGCTGTGAAGAGACTTTCCAAAGGTTCAGGACAAGGCACAAAAGAATTTAAGAATGAGGTTGCACTTGTCGCCAAGCTTCAACACAGAAATCTAGTAAGACTACTAGGATTTTGCTTGGAAGGAGAAGAGAAGATTCTTGTTTATGAATACGTGCCCAATAAAAGCCTTGATTATTTTCTATTCGGTTAGCATCAATCTTGATATGATTACTTCTTTTCTCATCTTTATATTGAAATTCATATACGTTGGCTGCCTATTCATTCTCTTAATGGATGTAAAGATCCAGAAAAACGACAAATGTTGGATTGGTCGAAACGTTACAAGATCATAGGAGGAATAGCACG